TAGCATTCCAGCAGAGCCCTGCTTGATTGCCTAGCCAGCTTAGCATTCCAGCAGAGCATTTTTACACTATATTTAGGAATGCCCTGCTAGATTGCCTAGCCAGCTTAGCATTCCAGCAGAGCATTTTTTCACTATATTAAGGAATGTCCTGCTAGATTGCCTAGCCAGCTTTACATTCCACCCGAGCATTTTTTCTCTTTATTAAGGAATGCTCTGCTGTATTGCCTAGCAAACTTAGCATTCAAGCAGAGCATTTTTCACTATATTTTGTAGCGCCTTGCTAGATCGCCTTGCCAGCTGAGCATTTCAGTAGAGCATTTTTACACTATATTTAGTAATGCCCTGCTAGATTGCCTAGCCAGCTCAGCATTCCACTATATTTAGTAATGCCCGACTTAGCATTCCAGCAGAGCATTTATTACGCTATATTTAGTAATGCCTGCTACATTTTCTAGCCAGCTTCGCATTCCGGCCAGAGCATTCTTACACTATATTTAGTAATGCACTGCTAGATCACGTAACCAGCTGAGCATTCCAGCAGAGCATTTTTTTCACTATGCTAGGAATGCTCCGCTAAGATTGCCAACACAGACTGAGTATTGCAGCAGAGCATGTTTACACTTTGTTTCGGAATGCCCTGCTAGATGCCCAAAACAGCTGAGCATTACAGCAGATCATTGACTTCCCTATATAAATTGAAATGCCTTTTTGCTTAGCTCACTGTTCACTGCTAACTTCTCACATACATAATTTGAATGTTTTCTGACAACTGGCTACGTTATAATGTTCGAATATTTGTCAAAATCAATCCGTTGTCGCAAAAGAACTTATTTAACTGCATTATCTAAAGAACTGTTTGTTTCCAATAAATACAATGCGGAATGCTGAGCTGTTTAGGCAAACTAACAGGGCATTCTTAAATAAAGTATTTTTTTTCTGCTGAATGCCGAGCTGGCAGGGCATTCTTAAATACAGAGTAAATATTTTTCCTCTTTTACTCCTTATGCATCCACTTGTAATCCTTAAGCCTCTGACAATTTTATTTTTTGTTGCGTGCTCTTTTTCACTAGTCTTTGTCTGCGCCTTTAACTGACATCCTCGAAGACTTCCAGGATTTTGGTAAAAATGGATTGATAGCTTATTTTGGGTTCTAGTAACCCTCAGGAGTTTATTTCGTTTGTCTGCAAATGATTATTTGGCACCCGTAGAAATTCTGAAATATTTAGTGCCAATGCAGATAATGACATTTTTTACGTCTACGGGACCCTTAAGTGTCGATTTCTTTGGTCTGCGATTGATTATGGTACAATCGCAGACTTTTAGGAATTTTTGATGTTAATGCAGATATTGACATTTGTGAATTCTAAGGACCACCCAGAGTCCATTTCGTTGGTCTTCGACTGTTTCTAGAACACTCGAAGACTTTAAGATATTTTAGGTGCCAATGGGGATAATGACATTTTTACTTCATAAGGACCCTCCTGAGTCTATTTCGTTGGTCTGCGACTGATTCTGAGTCATTCGGAGACTTTCAGGAAATTTGGTGTCAATGCAGATTATGATATTTCTGACTTATTGGGACTTTCCAGAGTCCATTTTTTTGGTCTGCGACTGATTCTGAGGCACTCACAGATTTTCAGGAATTTTTGATGTAAAGGCAGATAATAACATTTTTTACTTCTAGGGACCATCCAAGGTCCATTTTTTTGGTCTGCGACTTATTCTTGGACAGTCGCAAACTTTCAGCACTTTTTGGTGCCAATAGAGATAATTACAATTTTGACATCTTTTGTCCATCCAGAGACTATTTCGTTGGTCTGCGACTGATTATTGGTCACTTTCAGACTTTCAGGAATTTAAGGGCTAATGCAGATAATGACATTTTATTGTAAAAATGCTTTGCTTCTGACTAACGGGGTTCTTAAAATTAAAAAATGTTATGATCTGGAATGGCACCAAACATCCTGAAAGTCTACGAGTCTCAAAGAATAAGTCGCAGACCAAAGAAATGAACTCTGGTGGGTCACTAGAAGTCAAAAATGTCATTATCTCCATTGGCACCACTGATTTCTGAAAGTCAGCGAGTGTCCCAGAATCAGTCGAAGACAAGAAAAATGGACTCTGGCGGGTCCCTTGAAGTAAAACTTGCCATCATCTTTATTGGCACCAAACTTTCCTGAAAGTATGCGAGTGTCCAACAATACGCCGCAGGCCAAGAAACTGGACTCTTAAAGGTCCCTAGAAGTAAAAAATATGATTATTTCTATTGGCACCAACCATTCCTGAAAGTCTGCGAGTGTCCCAGAATCAGTCGCAGACCAACAAAATGATGGAATTTTGAATGTCCCTAGAAGTCTAAATTGTCAATATCAGCACTGGCATGAAAAAATTCTGAAAGTCTGCACGTGTCCCAAAATCATTCGCAGATCAGTGAATTGAACTCTGGTTGGTCGCTAGAAGTCAAAAATGTCATTATTTCTATTTGCACCACTGATTCCTGAAAGTCTGCAAGTGTCCCAGAATCAGTCGAAGACAAGAAAATCGACTCGGACGGGTCCCTTGAAGTAAAAGTTACCATCATCTCTATTGGCACCAAACTTTCCTAAAAGTCTACGAGTGTCCAACAATGCGCCACAGGCCAAGGAAATGGACTCTTTAAGGTCCCTAGAAGTCAAAATATGATTATTTCCATTGGCACCAACCATTCCTGCGAGTGTCCCAGAATCAGTCGCAGACCAACACAATGGACTATTGAATGTCCCAAGAAGTCTAACTTGTCAATATCAGCATTGGCACCAAAATTCCTGAAAGTCTGCGAGTGTCCATCAAAATGTCGCAGGACAATGAAGTTGTCTCTTTAAGGTCCCTAGAAGTTAAAAAATATCATTACTTCTATTGGCACCAAAAATTCGTCTGCGAGTGCCTCAGAAGTGCCTACAAGTCGAAACTGTCAATAAAACGTTGGCAACAATAAGTCCTGGAACTCAGAATCAGCCTGCCATCTGACCATTTTAGCAGAGCATATTAATACTATAATGCAGAATGCACCGCAAGATTCCTTATCAAAAACAGCATTATCACACTATTTTTGAGAATGTTCTGCTAGGCTGCCTAGCCAACTCGGAATATAACGCAAATTTAATAATATATTTATGAATGTCCCGCTATATTGCTTTGCCAGCTAAGAATTCCAGCAAGCATTTTACACTATATTAGGGAATGTCCTGCTAGATTGCCAAGACAGCTGGGTATTACAGAACAGCATTTTAACACTATATTTATGAATACACTGCTAGATTGCCTAGCCAGCTTAGCATTCCACCAGAGCATTTTTTCACTATATTGAGGAATGCCCTGCTAGATTGCCTAGTCAGCTAAGCATTCCATCAGAGCAGTTTTACACTATATTTAGGAATACCCTGCTAGATTTCCTAACCAACTGAGCATTCCACCAGAGCATTTTTACACTATATTTAGGAATGCCCTGCTAGATTGCCTAGCCAGCTTAGCATTTCCAGCAGAGCATTTTTACACTATATTTAGTAATGCCCTGCTAGATTGCCTATCTAGCTAAGCATTCCACAAGAGCATTTTTCTACTATATTTAGGAATGCTCTGCTATATTGCCTAGCCAATTTAGCATTCCAGCGGAGCATTTTAATACTATATTTAGTAATGCACTGCTAGATTGCCTAGCCAGCTAAGCATTCTAGCAGAGCATTTAAACACTATATTTAGTAATGCACTGCTAGATTGCCTATACAGCTTAGCATTCCTGCAGAACATTTTTACACTATATTTGGTGACGCCCTGCTAGACTGCCTAGCCAGCTAAGCATTCCAGCAGAGCATTTAACACTATATTTAGTAATGCACTGCTAGATTGCCTAGCCAGTTTTGCATCCCAGCAGAGCATTTTAACACTATATTTAGTAATGCACTGCTAGATTCCCTATCAAGCTTAGCATTCCAGCAGAGCAGTTTAACACTATATTTAGTAATGCACTGCTAGATTTCCCTAGCCAGCTTAGCATTCCAGCAATGCATTTTTACACTATATTTAGGAATGCCCTGCTAGATTGCCTAGCCAGCTTAGCATTCCAGCAGAGCATTTTTTCACTATATTAAAGAATGTCCTGCTAGATTGCCTAGCCAGCTTTACATTCCACCAGAGTATTTTTTCTCTTTATTAAGGAATGCTCTGCTGTATTGCCTAGCAAGCTTAGCATTCAAGCAGAGCATTTTTCACTATATTTTGTAACGCCTTGCTAGATTGCCTAGCCAGCTGAGCATTTCAGTAGAGCATTTTTACACTATATTTAGTAATGCCCTGCTAGATTGCCTAGCCAGCTCAGCATTCCACTATATTTAGTAATGCCCGACTTAGCATTCCAGCAGAGCATTTATACGCTATATTTAGTAATGCCCTGCTACATTTTCTAGCCAGCTTCGCATTCCGGCAGAGCATTCTTACACTATATTTAGTAATGCACTGCTAGATCACGTAACCAGCTGAGCATTCCAGCAGAGCATTTTTTCACTATTGCTAGGAATGCTCCGCTAGATTGCCAACACAGCTGTGTATTGCAGCATAGCATTTTTACACTTTGTTTCGGAATGTCCTGCTAGATGCCCAAAACAGCTGAGCATTACAGCAGATCATTGACTTCCCTATATAAATTGAAATGCCATTTTGCTTAGCTCACTGTTCACTGCTAACTTCTCACATACATAATTTGAATGTTATCTGACAACTGGCTACGTTAAAATGTTCGAATATTTGTCAAAATCAATCCGTTGTCGCATAAAAACTTATTTAACTGCATTATCTAAAGAACTGTTTGTTTCCAATAAATATTATATACATTTACTTTGCTTTTTGAATAAAATATTATCGATAAACTTATTTTACTTTATAATCATTACACTTATTTTAATACATCATCAATACAATCATTTTAATACATTATTTAAGCGCAGTATTCACACTTTACGACCTAGATGTAAGTGCTTTGTCAGATCCCTGTAGAAACCAACCATGCAAAAATGGAGGTGAATGTAAAAGCACAGGAGGTAGTTATGTCTGCACGTGCACTGCTAATTGGTCAGGCACTCGGTGTGATAAAGGTCAGTAACTTATCAAATTCATGGTAACTTCACCACGAAATAGCTTTCGCAATGAAATCATTTATCACTTATTATCATGATGAAATGAATAATGCAGCCCAACTTTCACATACATGTACCAACATATCTTGGAAACGCACATTGTAGCTTTTGCTGAAAGAAGTGACCGTAATAAGTATTTTATTAATTTTTTTCTTGGTATTTTACAGAGGTTATTGTGTACAAAGAACCGCTCTGTAGAGGTTGAATTGTAATTGTAATGTAGAATATTTTGGAATTGTAAAAAATTAAAACAATTTATTTCATATTGACAGAGTTAAAGATTATTTCAAGCTATTTGCATCTACTAACAAAATCGCTATAATTGACTAAAGCGAGGCAAGTGCAATAGTTTTGCTGATAGATGTAAAGTCATGGCAAAAACGAGCACCACGACCAGTAGTACAATGACAAATACATGTATATCTAAAATAAATTAAATTGAAAAAAAAAATGTTTGCTGAAAAACCCATATATTTTATACCGCATTACAAACTTTCACGGACGTGTTTGCATTTAAGAAGTAGAAATATTTGTAATGGAGGTTAAAATATAATGTCCTAGCAGTCCTTATTCTTTCCATTTAGCCATTTTTATTGTAAATTGTATTGGTCCCTTTCCCCCAATTGAGATTACTTGCAGTTTTGCTCGTTTGCGCCAGTGATTTGGACATACTTTAAGTTACTTTTGAGTAATTCATAATTCATATATTATTCCGTAGTTGTATAAAACACACAGATGGACAAAAATATTCATGTCTTTTTTACCCTACAAATGTAGTAGGGGTATATATGAGTCAGCTTGTCGGTCGGTCCACCTCATGGTTTCTTGACGATAACTAGAGTTTGGAATCAATTATTGTAATAAAACTTGGTATATAGAGAGTTAGAAATGAGATATAATTGTAATCAAATTTGTTATATATAAAGCTTATAGGCATACCCTGGTTGGGACTGATTTTAGACCTGCTGGAGTCAAGGTTAAGGTCACTGGTACTGGAAATAAAATAGAAAAATGGTTTCCGGGCAATAGCAAAACTTCGAAATCAGAAATTGTTATCAAGCTTAAGATATAGCTAGCCTATAAGAAGACTCTGGTTGGGATTGCATTTGGACCCGGGGGTCAAGGTAGGTCAAGGACACTGTCACTAAAATAGAAAAAAAAGATTTTGGACTCCACTGGGTTAAGGTCAATGTCACTGTTACTAATTTATATATCCTCTTATTTTAAGTTTAATTTGTATTTGTCAGATATAAATGAGTGTGACAACACTGATCAGTGTAAAAATGGCGGGACATGTACAAATACAGACGGGGCCTTCAGTTGTAACTGCAAAGCTGGCTGGACAGGAACAGTGTGTGACAACGGTAAGTAAACTTTAATTTAACTGATGCTTTCCACACATGTTGAATTCTTTCTATGAAGACTGATAAACTTAGAAATAAATTTGCGACTGATGTCGGTGTCATTTCATCATATGTAACAGAATTCACATTCATGTACTCAACTTTCATAGCATCAAATTTTATAGATATCTGATGATTAGTTTTTAACAATGTAACTTTATTATATTTCACTTAAATTTTATGATAGATCAATGACGTTTCAGATAATCAAATTTATGTATGGTAATACAGTTGGGACTAGTCTGTGTCTGTCGGTCCTCGGTCCTGGTTGAATATAAATCATGTGGTCCAAGATAAATTTCCTTTCAGTCTATTCTCGTGTCCGAATAAAATTTAAAGAAGTTAAACATATTAATGACTTGTTTGATAAGAAGTTACCGGTGACGCAAAGAAAATTTGCTAAAGAGGACAAAGTAAAAAATCCCAAGAAGGGTTTTTGTCACAAAAACATATGTCTCCCAAAACTATGCATGGTCACTCATGTGAAGTTTCATTGAAATCCCACCAGTAGCTAGACCTGTAAAAGCCGGACAAGATTTTTCTATTTATAGCTTTGACGGCCATTTTGTGGAGCGAAGCGGAACGTGTCAGTATTCTGCACAACCAAGGATGATACTGATCACTCCTGTAAAGTTTGGTTAAAATCCCATCAGTATTTTGACTTGTAAAGGCCGGAAAAGATTTTTCTATTTTAAGCTCTGGCGGCAATTTTGTGCAGGGAAGCGGAACATGCCGGTGATGTGCACAACAATGGTTGGTACTGATCACTCCTGTAAAGTTTAATTGAAATCCCATAAGTAGTTTGACCTGTGAAGGCCGGACAAATTTTTATATTTTAGCTCTGGTGGCCATTTCGTACAGCGAGGCGGAACATGCCGGTGATGTGCAAAATAGGGATGGTACTGATCACTCCTGAAAGTTTGGTTGAAATCCCACCAGTAGTTTGACATGTGAAGACCGTACAAATGCCTTTTCTATATTTAGCTCTGGCGGCCATTTTATGCAGCAAAGCGGAACGTGTCCGTGATGTACACAACTACGGATGGTAGTGATCACTACTGCAAAGTTTGCTTGAAATCCCACCAGTAGTTTGACCTGTGAAGGCCAGACAAGATTAAGCAGCGAAGCCACACGTGCCGGTGATGTGCACAACAAGGGATGGTAGTAAAGTTTGCCTGTGAAGGGCGGACAAGCTTAATGCGGACGGACAGACAACCGGACGGACAGACGGCGAAGGCAAAAATAATATGTCTCTCAAACATTTTGGGAGATATAATGAATTACTAACCTGATAATTATCTGTATTAGAAAAAAGCCTTTAACTTAACAGAAGAACGTCTGGTCAGTTCGAAGTCAGGGATAGAATAGAGAGAGAGAGCCAGTGCAAAAAATCATGGGGAAAAAAATGCCAACAATGACATGTTCAAAACGGTGTCTCATAAAAACACTTACCGTGAGAATCAAGCTTTAGATTGAATGCCACTGTAACACTGGCAATAAAAAAATCATGCACTTTGATATAAACATACCTCTCTTTGCTACTGTTTAAGCACCAAAAATTAGTAGTTGCCTTTATAACAAGGAAAACAGAAATATAATGTTAACATGAATGAAAGAATATCAAGAACATATATTTCATTTTCACTAGTTTACCATTATAATCAACGTCATCATCATCTCTACCACCACCAACAAAATCATCAACTTCAAGAAAAAGTGCTGTGTAACTTTGATTTTCTTTGTAGATATTGACGAATGCACAATGTACCACATTTGTCAAAACAGTGCCACGTGTTTAAATTTACCAGGTACCTTTCACTGTACATGCGCAACAGGATTCAGTGGTGTACAGTGTGCTCATGGTAATTTGTTTATATTTGTCTTGATTTTACATTTCTCTCTGTTGAGAAAAGCATTTCTGATAAATTTAGCTTTTTCAGTCACATTTATTTTTATTGGACACCGAATTAATATATATTGCTGGGAAGGGCTTAATCTAATGCTGTAAGAACTTGTTGCCCAACCCATTTGCATTTTATATATACTCATTATTTGAATGATATGGTTGTAAACATGTATTGCCTTTCCTTGTTGATCTTGTTTATCATATTTAATGCAATTAAATATGTTTAAACTAACTAATACATATTGCAATAAAATGAAGAGAATGGATTTTTTTACCTCTTTCTAGTTTGAAAATATAAAACTGATAAACTTTGAATCGAATACATATTTTGAATATTAAAGTCTATCTAACATTTGAGTAAAATATTTGGGACTATTTCTTATAGATGTACTCCTTGGCATATTACTGCGCGCGGAATGAAATCGAGAGTTTCTGAACAGTTTTGTTTTTTTTTCATTCGAAATTCAAAGAAAGAGACGAATATTAAAATTGAAAACATGATAAATAGAATATCAAACAAGTATCTGATATTATAAAATATTATCAGGCACTAGCATGGTATTCTCTATATATAATAAGTTCAAGCAACTAAACGCTTTTCTTTAGCTTTCGACGTGTTTTCTTCGTCAGAAAGTGGCGTTTGTAAAATAACAAAAGACGCAACTGGAACGTGACGTTAACGCGAAAATAACAATGTTGTCAAATAAAAACAGAATCTTTCATACATAAATACACATGACCCCTATTGATTTTAGGGTCAAAATATTAAAGGTCAGGGTCAAAATGACCTTAACACTGAAAATTGTGGTTTCTGGAGCTTGACACAAGTTCCATTTGGCTTACAGTGTTCAAACTTAATAGGATGATTGCCTATATTGAAAAAAAAGATCATATCTATATTGTCACAAGGTCAAAGGTCAATATCAAATGACCTTAATATTTTTACAACTGTCAAACTTCATAGGATGATCACTTATATTGAGTCCATTAATTATATTATGCCCTAATATATTTGCTTATGTTATACCCCTGGCGTCTTTCCCACCATCCGTCATATATATATATATATATGAAGGTTCTTCAGCTCTAAAGGAGGATTGCTTTTTAAAGGAGCATTCTGAATGGTATATATTATCTCAACTTCGTTTTCCACAATCATTCATAAAATGGTATTCATATAAAATATTTCCATGTGTATGTTTCTCAGTTAATTAGATTCACTAGAGCTTGTAGCAGCGTAAAGGATTTCAGCGAGCGGAATATTTTCATTACCAGCAAGCTTCTAAAACAGGGCAACCGCTATCATAAATTACGGAAATATTTTACAAAATTTTACAATCGTAATTTTGATTTATTTCAAAATTCAATAGTGATTTAAAAAGTCTCTTGCGACAAGGGATTAGCCAGTCGGTTTTTATGGCGATGTGATTTACAAACTTCGTATAATTTTGGGTCATGGTAATTTTTCTGCTGTTTTTACTAAAATCATTAAACGTTTTATTAAAAGAGCTTATGATCCCACTATTTTAAGACATTAACCCTTTTACAGTTGGACGCTTTCCTCTTTTGATTACATCTGACGGACGAAGTGGGAGACTCTATGATGGACAGTTCTTACAGCCCTTTGGGACTGAATTGCCTTAATGTTCGTCTTCTGCCTTGCTTCATCGGGTCCTTGTAGCTGATTTTCTTGTTGCTCTGTCTTCCTTTAGGACATTGAGTTCTTTTGTTATGGTCATTGGGATTACTTTTATATGTTTCTACATGATCGTTTTGGTGTTTTACTTATTTAACCTTTTGTAACCATAACAACTGTTAGAATTTCACTCGGCGGGGATTCATTTTATTTACACTATCTCGTTTTAAGGAACATGGTGGGGCTAAGAGTGAGGTTTGGTGCACCATTAACCGGTTTTAACTCCCCAGCAGTACTTGTGCTGCTGACCGTTCCAAGGCGGCGCCCCTCTGTGTTCCTCAGATGCATGTCTATGTTGTTTCATACTGATTTGGTGACACTTTTGCTTGTGTCCCTTGTTGTTTTCTCGTCTACAGTAAGTATCTTCCCCTTTGCCCCTAGTTTTTATTTCTTTAATTTTACCCCCCCCCAACTGCCCGGTTTCCTGTACCCTTCCCCTGTGTCCTTTGACTTTATGGGCCTCTTATTCAATCATTTATATTTGTTTCCTTTGAATTCCTTATCAGTTAAAAATTATTTTCTATTATTCAGTCATTTAATAATATTTGTTTTCTTTGAATTCCTTATCAGTTACAAATTATTTCCTATTATTCAATCATTTATTTGTTTTCTTTGAATTCCTTATTAGTTACAAATTATTTATCATTTTATTGATTAGCCTGTCCGTGCTCTGTCTGGTGTCCTGTCCTGTTTTTGTTTTGGGTCCGCCTGAGCTCCTTGCTACCGGTTCATGTTGCTGGGTCATGTGGGGGCTGCGTTCATTGAACGCCGCCTTTCCTTGTTGATTTTGTTTATCATATCTTATAACTTCTTCATCCTTACTAAAAAAACAACACTTTTCGGGCATATAATACTCCGCCTAGCGGTGCTTTTGTTTTTTGTAATTTGTCAGAAGACACGTTTTAGAGGCAAGAGTATATTTTCTGTAAAAAAAGCAGGTATGTTTTATAATGTTGTAATAATGGATTAAGAAGTTCTAAAAAGCTAACTTTCTCAAGGCAATACCCCGCAAACTAAAACAATTTGTAATAAAGAAAACAACATACAAGATACTTTACTATTATAACTGTAATGTTGGGCAAAATTGACCTCTTATATTTTGGAAGCTGCAATACTTACTGGAGAATTTGGATCTCTTAGCTCCAGCAGGCTTTTAACTACTGGTGTTGTTAAATTTGTCACACCCAAGATAAGCCAGAATCATCTTTCCTGTTTCGGCGCAATATGACCTAAATTGTGTTAGTGCGCCAAATAGAACTATCATAACATGTACACTAAAATTGAAAAAAGAACAACACAATTTTTGAACAATGAAAATAGTCTTAAAAGCTACATTATACATAAGAAACAAATTTATATAATAATTGTTTAGAAAAGACAATTATGTAATTCATTATGTTGTAATAATGAATTTAAATCATGTTAGTTGTGTATCATCGGGATAGAGTACACGTGTTTTTAGCGCTAGAAGTAAAGTGATTTGTCTTGTCATAATGGTAACAAAATGTAAACAAAAAGGTATTTTGACTTCTATACAAAATACTCAAATCATTTTAGCCATGAGAAATGCATATATTAACCGGATATTTGTCTTTGAAGCACATGCGTCACTAAAAAAAAACTGCAATCACAGTTCCGGTTATTTTATTATACAAAAAGTAACCACACTGAATATAGAATCAAACATACACTTTTTGATTAAGCGCGGAAGAACGTCGCTTCAAAAGCGGCATCAGTGTCTTTGATTTTCCTTTTCGGTATCTGATAGTGTCGCTGATACTTGGAACTGATATGGTATAGGCGGAGCTTTCCGTTGTAAAGGCTTGATAAGACCCAAAATTTAAATTTATGCATCATGACAAACATGTTCAATACATGTAGTCTATAAAACTCAAAATTCTTTTAATCGCACCTTTTTTTTCGTGGAAGCAAGAGTATACACATGACAAAAGATGACCTAACTATACGGAAAATTGAAATTCTATTTAAAACTGTAAAAGGGCACAGGGCACCAAAAACAAAATATTATTGAAATGATATATATGATTAAAAAGCCTATGTGACAGTCAATTTTAACTGTTCTCTGGCCGATGTTCTGCTGTGATTTATAACTATTATACGCGATTGACCATATTTAGATTTAACATATATAGTATGTATATATGTACTTTAATCTGCTTTGAGTATCAAAATGTTCTTGTTTAAATGTGTTTTAATGATTATTGATTGAAGTTTTCATAATCACCACCGTAAAACAACATTACAATCCTATTTTTTTTCTCGAAACGATAACGAATTTAAGGAACAAGACACCTTTGTAACCAATGATACATTTTGATGAAAAAATTAAATAACATTTATGATATTTAATATTTGAAATTATATATAGCATTTGTTTGACCATATTCAATTTAGGAAAAGACTTCAATAATAGATGCAATATACATTGTAAGTAAATATATACCTTTTTCTTATCACTGTGGGCCTAATCGAAACAAAGACCGTGTTTCATCATGGCTAGTACTAGAAGCATAAAAGAAGCGTAAAACGGATTCGAAAAGATATAAAAGACATAAATAAGTTACAAACATTTATTTCAACAAGCATTGAATGTTTAAAGGAACTCCACATTATGTGATTGGGAATATTTTTCCAATATGTGTGTATCATTTGATAAAGGTATTAATTAATAAAAACGAGAATAAAGATCATCAAGTCAAAGGCAACGTTCAGAGGATGTAGCATAGACACACCCAGGCCACCACAGCAGGGCACCCAGAATGCACCAAACCAAAACCAGGAGTGGGCATAAGGGCGGCGAAAGGAGATGGACACGTTATGTGTGTGCACATTTTCAGACCATTCCTTCATCACGGTTTTCAGAATATCATTGAAAACTTTACCAAACATGAAAGTGTTATAACGCTTTTCATTCAAATTGAGCTAAGCTCGTCTCGTACAAAAAGACGATATAAGATTAAATTAAATTCGTTTTTAAACTCTTTAACTACAGTTGAGCTCCATTTGAGTAAGTATATATATCCACATATATCACTCCAAAACCAAAATAATAATCTAATTACCCTTCTCCTGCCGAGTAATAAGATTTTATAAACAAAATTAATGCTGTTTCAAATGAAAGGTCAAAATAAGATTCACTTTAGGGTACCCCTTCACCGCAAAATGGCGACACAGGAACTCATAATCTGCATGAAGTATTTGCTTTCTTACCTAACGAATGTAAACAAGAGAAAATGAGTAGTCTGATGTAGACATTTTGTTTGTAATTAATATCAATATTTGATGAGGTCATATTTGTTTCAAATACTCATGAGAAAAATATCATAACTCTATTTTGGTAAATATTTTTTATTTGACATTTAGAAAGTTCTTGTATATTGGAATTTACACTGCGCATCATTGAACCGTGTGCGTATTGTCTTTACAACGTAGGGCACCCTTAGGGGAAATATAATGTGTATATTACCCGCCTGACTCGGTTATTTAAATTTCTTTCGGCAGATCAGCATCAAATCAAAAAACGGAAAAAATGGAAGTATAATAAATATATATTTTATCCATGCAGGTCAACCAACTACATGTAGCCGTACTTGCATTCTGCGGTCCTTGGCTTTTCAAAACTCTGTCAAGAGTGCCAACGCAACCACGTGTCCTAATTCATCTTCATTTGGTTCGAACGAGGCGCTACCTATGCAATGTTGTCAAACACAGACATCAAGCACTTGGATCAAGGGCCAGCACGTAATGATTATTTCTTAACACATCTCAAATTACACAATTACTTAACTTAAAATGTAAAAGGTTTCCCTATATAAGATTTCAATGTTGTTAAACTATCTGGTCTACAGGATCATTCAATCCATTGTACATGTAATTGGAATAAGTATTAAAACGGTGCTACGGGGCTATGTTTCATTATCCCTCATAAAGAAACTCATTCATACCGAGTTTGTACGTTTCATGTACAATTTTCTACTATAGAACTTAGAGACAACATAGATACAACACAAAGACCACATTTTAGTTGCCGACACTTTTAGATTATTTGTTTCGTTGTTTCTTTATTATGTTCTTTTACAGATTATAAATTAATGTCTAAAGATGTTTTTCAACGTCCATTTATATTTGAGATTCATCAAAGCATTTCATTTAATTGTGCAATAATCATCAGTAATATTTATAGGTCATGACGCAATGTAACAGTGGAACTATGACACCGTATACTACTGTAGCAATATTCAGATCCGATGGCTCGGTCGAACCGAACACAGCTGGTATTCTTACAGAATGCCTCAGTGGTGGCGCAGGATTTTCGGTATTTGTCTAAAAATTATCCTTCCATATCTATTTCTAAAGAATCGCGCCTCCGAATATATATTGTGACATTGTGATGGTTCATGCTTCTATGTATATCGGTGTAATTATCACGTTACCCTACGCTTCTCAAAATATAGATAAAAACAGAATCCCTAAAGAAAGCCCAACACGGCAAAATTGAAAATGTTGCAGGCTCGGTTTGATTGAGCCTGTTCATGGACGGTACTGGAAAGTGCAAGTTACCGTCCACGCCCCCTAGCACCGGCTTAAGCAGAATTCAACATTTAAACATGAAATGGTAAATTTTTGAATTTAGAAACATCCGGTGACATTTATTTTTAGCCAACGCGATTCATCAACCATAGAAAGAAAAGAGTTTGCGTCTTCGTCTGAATTATCACAATGGGCGGGGATAATTTCTCTAGAGTTGTAGAGATGGTAGCGTTATTATTCGAACAAGGCTGATATTTAAAGTTCACACCGTACAATCAAATTGGTAGGCAACTGTTCAACGCGTCGACAGCTGTACTTATATTAATGTCTCTGTTTTGTTCTAAAATCTTTCATGATGATAGTAGACTGATATAATTCGCCGTCGAATCACGGCCGACGCGAGTACATCAAATTCTAATATTAAACCATAACCCCTCAAATTCCTTATATATTTTAAAGTCACCTAACCATTAAGACAAATAACATGAAGCATAATAACTTACCCTCATTAAATATCCTGTTTATGTGTTTTGTGATATTAATGTCTGCTTTTGCAGTATTCACATATATCACCATATTTGTACTACGTGACTAACACTTTAAGTATATTTTTGCATACCTTAACCACTTTTTTGGTAAATTAAGCAAACTGACTAAAGGTCAGGTCTACTTATGTTATTTCTTGCATGTTTATCCAAATGCCGCCGTATTAAGCCTTCATTGTGATTCAGATTTCCCGAGAAAACTTGTTTTATCATGCAATCAAGCCGTTCTTTACAGGTAGGGATTAGACAAAGTTTCAAAATATCACTGTCCGTTGAAGTAAATCAAATTGATGACTTTTTTGTTAAAATAAAAATATTTGAAGATAACATTCTCAGTTTTAATAACAAATATAACGATAGATTTAGTTTTAAATGTGCTGATCAGGGCAACTTCAATGTCACACTACCGTACCACTCTAAAATGTAAACAAGATTATTTGTAAAAGACTAAGGACAATAAACCAGGAATTTGTAAATAAAATAATGTGAATTAAATTGTTTTGCCAGATTACCAGCCGGGTATATGAACAATGCCATTTTTGTTCTTGAAATCGAGAAAACTACTCAGTATTATTTTTTCCAGCTGTTCAAACTGCATTGCTTTCAAAGATAAAATGCTGTTTAAAAGTCACAAGAATGTGATCGTCAAATTATAATGCGTAGCGTACATGATTTTAATCAGTTGGAAAATAACATGGATTGCAAGAGCTATTTGCAATGTGTAGATTAATGTCTTTGTTCGCCACACAATGTTTTAATTAAAATACATGCTCAAAATGTTGTTAAAATTAAGCATGATTCTGGAGGCATGTTGCTTCAATTATAAAATACATGATACGTTGTCTACAGAGGTGTTTTTGTTAACGAAACTACATCAGATTACTTTTGTTTTAGATTGTTCGCCAAGATTGCGCGTCCTTCCCAACCGTAATACATGTAAATGGAACAGCTGTTGGTCAAGTTGATAACAAGCCGGACCATTACTCCATCGTGTTGTGAAACAATTTTCATCTAACACGTGTTGTAAAGTGTTTGACTTCACTTTAGAATAAATTCTTTCCCGAATGATTTGTCTTACTATTTTTGTCCCCCGCCTTTCCGAAGAAAAAAGGGGGTATAGAAATAGGCTCCGTCCGTCTGCCAGTCCGTCCGTCTTACTTTCGTGTCTGGTCAATAACTTTGTCAATTTTAAATAACTTGGCACAAATGTTTGTTATAATAAGACAATGTGTCATGCGCAACAACCAGACCCCTACCTCCAGGGTCAAGGTCGCACTTAATCATTCAATGTCAACATTGTCTATTTGAGGGTGTATGTCGTGTCCGGTCTATTACTTTTTTATCTTTGAAGGGATTTTGTAAATACATGCCACAATTGTTCACAATAATGAGACGATGTGCGCAACAACTGGTCACCTTCCTCCAAGATCAAGGTCACACTTGGAGGTCAAAGATTAACATAGTCTATTATGGGTATATTTTGTGTCTGGTCCATAACTTTTTGAAAAAACTTGGCACAAATAGTCACTATAATGAGACGATATCTCATGCGAAATACCTGCATCCCTACCTCCAAGGTCAATGTCACAATCAAAAATTATCATAGTCTGTTAAAGGGTATATATTGTGTCCGATCTAGAACTTCTTCATAGTTCAAGGGATTTTTAATATAACTTGGCACATTAATAAGACGATATGTCAAGTACAACACCTGTACTCCTACCTCCAAGGTCAAGGTTATACTTAGAGGTCAAAAGTTAACAGAGTCTGTTATATGCTATATTTTGTTTTCCGTCCATAACTTCTTCATAGATCAAGGGATTTTGAAAATACTTTGCACAAATATTCACAATCATAAGATGATATGACATGCGTTACTCCATTGTCCCTACCTCCAAGGTCAAGGTCACATGTAGAGGTCAAAGATTCACATAGTCAGTTATAGGGTATGTTTTGTGTCCCGTCTATAACTTTTTAATAGGTCAAGGGATTTTAAAAATACTTTGCACAAATAATCACAATAATAAGACGATATGTCCGGCCTAAAACATGGGTCCCTACCTCCAAGGTCACACTAAGAGGTCAAAGATAAACATAGTCTGTTATATGGTATATTTTGGGTCCCATCTATAACTTCTTCATAGTTCAAGGGATTTTGAAAATACTTGGTAAAAATAATTACAATAATAAGACAGTATGTCACTTGCACCCCTACGTACAAGGTCAAGGTCACACTTAGAAATCAAAGCTTAACATTCATTTATTTCTTTAATACATTTATTGTTGGATTTGCAGATCTAGCATTGATCATAATTTTGGACTGAAAGTCCTTAGATCCATACCTCAATCTTTTGAAATAGCACAATTTTATACTTCATATAAAACTTCCCCGAGGCGGGGGACGTTGGTTACGTCCAAATTCTTGTACGTAAATACATGAAACTTTAGTGTGCACAAAACTATGTATATTGTATATAGTGTTCTAGCGTGGAATATATGTATTAGGCGTGGGTCAAAGACCATAATGACGTCCCCTCCAATTTCCCACCGTGGACATGCTACAACCCTGTTATAACAATTCAATACGATGTTTAAACTTTACAGAATAACTACATTATTAATTTAAGATAAAACATTGATGGCTATGTAAATTGACAAGGTATGTAACGCCATATGCTAAAAACACACAAATAATACTCGTAGCGGAAAAGTCACATGGCAGTCCAAGGTCAAATTATTCTTAGTACTATGAATGATCATTGGACCTGTCGTGACTATAACTAAGGAGGATTAACATACAAGAAGCCGTTTGAAATCACTTTTGAAACTATCTATATTCAACGTTTCGTGGTGTTAACCCTCTTTATCAAGGAGTGTATTGTTTAGTTCATAAATCATATATTTATATTGTTATCTTACACTTGTTCATGAAAACAGGAAATGACGTCGTTGACTGCAACAATAAAAGTTTTGCATAACCTGATAATGACGGTTTCCGTCAAAAATGTTCTGCTGCAAAGGGGAGACGGTTAAAATTATTGTTCACTTTCATTTTCAAAAGTGCTAGACGGTATTTTATGCACTGCTTCCGTTTATTCTGGTTCCCTGGCCTATTTTGGTTCCAATAAAAGTGCGAAGGGGACCAACCCATGCATCCGTTTTCAATCAGAACTTCTCGGCTTTGATCGTTTTCTTGTAAGTCGAAAAGTTGCGATTGGTCTATGTCGTTAAGCATTGCGTTGCGGCACCTAACAAGAAATGATATTGAAACTTTTGGTATAGAATTCCATATTTTTTATGCAACCACCACATCTGCGATGCGGTGGCATATAGCAGTTCACCTGTGTGTGTGTTTGTGTTCTATAGATTATATAGTGAACTTAAAAAATCTTCTTGTGAAAAACCACAACTCCAATTTCAACCAAACTTGGCAGGATTGATTTGGGTGAATGGCTTCCAAAGTTGTTCAAAGAATTTCATTCCATGCAAAAATCTTGTTGCCATGGCAACCAAAAGGATTTATAAGAATAATTTTAAAAATCTTCTTGTAAAGACCAAAAGGCCTAGAGCTTAGATATTTTGCATAACGCATTGTCTGGTAAACCTCTACCAAGATTGTTAACATTATAGCCCTGGGGTCAAAATCGGCCCTGTCCTGGGGGTCATTGATTTTCACTATACGTACATAAAGTAAAAACTTAAATACCTTCTTGTAAAGATCCAAAAGGCCTAGTGCCTAAATATTTTGCATAAAGCATTGTCTGGTAGACCCTTATCAAGATTGTTCAAATTATAGCCCTGGGGTCAAAATCGACTCCGCCCCGGTGGTCATTGGTTTTCCTGATATGTATATAGTAAAAACTTATAGTAAAAAGTAAAAGCTTTAAAAAAAATCTTCTTGCAATTGAAACATGCTAGAGGTTAGATATTTCGCATGAAACATTGTGTAGTGAACCTCTAGCAAGATTGTTCAAATTATAGCCCTGATGTCAAAATTGCCCTCGACCCGGGAGTCATTGATTTTCAATATATACATATAGTAACAAATCTTTTTGTCTGAATGTACAAGGCTTAGAGCTTAAATATTTGTTAAATAATATCATCTATAGTTACTCTACCAAAGATGTTCAAATTTTGCTTCTAGGGTCAAAATTAGCCCCGCCCAAGGGGCCATAGGCTTTCATTATATGTATATAGTAAAAATCTTAAAAAATCATCTTCTCTTAATTTACAAAGGCTAGAGTTAAGATATTTTGCATGAAACATTGTGTAGTGGACCTCTAGCAAGATTTACAAATTAAAGCCCTAGGGTCAAAATTTGCCCCACCCCAGGGGTCATTCATTTTCACTATGTTCATTAGTACAAAATTAAAAACATCTTCGTATCTGAAGGTACACGGCTTAGATCTTTGATATTTGGTATAAAATATCATCTATGGGTCCTCTACTAAAGTTGTTTTAATTATGTCCCTAGTGTTAAAATTGCCGAGAGGCGATAGTTTTCCTTAAATGTATAAAGTAAAAACTTAAAAGATCTTCTCTGAATTGACAAAGCCAAGAGGTTAAATATATGGCATGAGACTTTGCAAAGTGAACATCTCCCAAGATTGTTCAAATTATAGCACTGGGGTCAAAATTGTTTCCGCTCCGGGGGTCATTGATTTTCATTATGTACAGATAGTAAAAAAATATAAAAAAAATATTTTTGTCTGAAGGTACAAGGCATAGAGCTTTGATGTTTTCTATATAAAATCAGCTATAGGTCCTCTACCAAAGTTGTTCAAAATTTTCCACTGGTGTCAAAATTGGCCTTGCCTGGGGGCATTGATTCCCATTATGTACACATAGTAAAAAAAGAAAATAAAGAATGGGAGAAAGCTACAGCTTAGATATTTGACTTGAAATTTGTTTGGTGAACCTGTAAATTAATCCTTTGGGTCAAAATTTTGCCTTGCCCAAGGGGACATTGCCCTACTGTCTTGTCCTTTGATGTACAGCAATGAAATTGTCTCCATGTGCACAGTTTTGGTTGTAAAAATTGATCTTTTATATCAGGTGACCTAGTTTTTGATGATGTGACCTACTTTTTTGTCCCTTGATATACAGCTATGAAATTTGAACCTGTGCACCGATTAACATTTTCAATTTTGCCGTGTTGGGCTTTCTTTAGGGATTCTGTATTTACCTATTTTATGATCACATCCGTGTTATTTGTGCCGTGTGGTGGCTGTAAAAAGTCTCCCCGTACATTTAATCAATGATGTTATATTTTCGATCCTTGAAGATCGTTCAGCACGACATGATTGTTGTGCTTGTGGTATTTTTAGTTTCAACTTTTCGGCATTTTCTAGTTGGGTGGTTCCAATATTCCTTCTTGAATAATGTTGAATCACCCTTAGGATATGTTGCCTGCTTTTTAATTTTGTCTTTTGACGTCTTATCTGTGATACGCAGGCTTCATAACCTCTGATTCCCTTTCAAAATTCCATTTTATTTAGTTCCGCCAATTGTTTTCTCGTTTAGGGCACACGCTTTTTATTACTTGGGGACCATACGCCGCTTTTCATGGAATGGCACGGAAGTGTCACATTGAAGGTTCCATGATAATCGCCGTATGAACACATCTGCGGATGTTTCTAAGTTCAAAATTTTACTATTTCACGTTTAAATGTTGAATTCTGCTTAAGCCGGTGCTAGGGGGCGTGGACTGTTACTTGCACTTTCCAGTACCGTCCATGAACAGGCTCAATCAAACCGAGCCTGCAACATTTTCAATTTTGCCGTGTTGGGCTTTCTTTATGGATTCTGTATTTACCTATTTTATGATCACATCCGTGTTATTTGTGCCGTGTGGCGGCTGTAAAAAGTCTCCCCGTACATTTAATCAATGATGTTATATTTTCGATCCTTGAAGATCGTTCAGCACGACATGATTGTTGTGCTTGTGGTATTTTTGGTTTCAACTTTTCGGCATTTTCTAGTTGGGTGGTTCCAATATTCCTTCTTGAATAATGTTGAATCACCCTTAGGATATGTTGCCTGCTTTTTAATTTTGTCTTTTG